ATTACACAACAACACTGTGACAGCTTTTTTTAATGAGGAGGAGGAGCCTCACTCGGGGGTTGTTAGGTAAGGGGCTGAACGCAGGTTCTGGTGGGTTGTCGTACGGCTTGTGACATCACAAAATAACGGAAGTATAAAACTTGTCGTTAATATACATTTAAAATACATTTACTTGCAGTAAATATGCCCCTGGGTGYATTTTTTTAGTCCTAGGACTGTTTTTTTAAGAAGAAGTACATACCCAAAGTTGAGTAAAAAAAACCTTTAAAAAGTGAATTTTCCATAATAGGTCCCCTTTAAGATTCAAAATTGTATTGTTATTCAAAATAGACACTTGTTTAGTTCAGTGTTTATTTCTGAACATGCCTCTGACCGGATGCTCCAGTGAAGCTTTTTATTTTTGAACGAAACAATGAGCTGGAAATAAAGTATCGACTGAGTAACTTTAGGATCGATACGCTCCGAGACCCAGGATGGACATTACTATCTACGTGGAAAATGAAAAGTAAAAAGATGAAGCAACTGGACTTGTTTTTTTGGAGCTGTAAACACATGGAGCTACAGATTTAAACAGCGAGACTTGAGGTTAGTGTCTTATCGATCCTTCACCCCCTCCTCCTGATGAAAAAGTCAGATGAATGTGACATGAGCGTTCACACTGCAGTCACTTTGAAAACATCAGATATATATCTGATTTTAAACCACATACTGAAACGGCCTGGGTTAGATTTGAAAAAATTGGATTTGTTGTGTTCAGACTGTCATGAAAAAATAGGCTATGGGTTAGATGGGGAAAAAATTAATTTAAAAAAAATCGCATTTGGGTCGTATTTGCCTGTAGTGTGAACGTAGCCTCAGTTTCACATGTGCTTCACCTCACAAGACTCATACTGTCATTTTTTTATACCATCGTCATATTTTGATACTGTGATATAACAACTAGGGATGCAAACAATTAATCGAATTGGTTTATTAGATTAAAATTTCTTCCATTCGATTAATTGAAAACATCTATTTAAACCAGGCCAGGTCAACCAGTTGATCGGGATCAACTGGTCGATCTTTAGCCTGTTAGCAGTCGATTGCAGAGCAATGGATTGTATAGTACTCAATTTACTACGGAGCCTCTAGCGTCGGCTCTGAGCGTCTGATCCGGGCGAGAGAGGGCTCGTTTTAAAGCTCTGGATCTCCGCTACAACCTGGAGGTGGTTGCAAGTTCCTGGGACATTCCCACGTGGAGATATAAGTGACCAAAGGTCATCAGGCGAGCTCCGGCGGGTGAAACGGCTGATTTCCAGAACAGGGCTGCTTGTGCTGATGCAGGGGAATAAAAGGAAGAGATCCAGTGAGGTGGAACCGTGGTCCTACATCCAGCACCTGCTCTCCCGCCTAGATTTAGCCAGAAACCCCTGGCGGGCGATATTTCTGCAAAAATGCATAAAACTCAGAAACCCACATGATGGATCACTTCCAGACAATAAAAGGAACAGATTTGGTCAGGTGTAACCGGTCCTGGAAGCTCAGCACCGGGTTTTATAGCCGCCTGCCTGCTAAAAAGCCCCCGGGCGATATTTCTGCAATAACGCATAAAATTCAGAAACCCACCTGGAAGTAATACAGTTGGTTACTAGTGCGGAAAAAAATGGATGAAAAATGAGCAAACAAGGAAACAAAAAGTTATTATTTTCACCCGGAGAGGGAGGAGGACAATTTTTTTTGTTTTTTCTAATTCGAAGTCTATCTGCCTCATATGTAATTCGAGCGCTGCCTTCTCCAAAAAGGGTAACCTGAAGCGGCATTTGAAGATGATGAACAAACGGTACAAGACGTATTTCCCCTCCTAAAAGTTTTTTACGGACTCAAAGTGCGGGAGCTGAAAAACAAGCTTGCAGGACAGCAATAAATTTTCACTCAGCCCAGCACAAGGTAAGGCTGCTACGAAAGCCTCATGATCCTGGCTCAACACAAAAWGTCTTTCAGCGATATAGAAGTTATGAAGATGTAGATATGTAGATAGTTTTGTTTGACAATACTTTAAATTAAATAAAACTAGCAACATATTATGTTCTGTTTTATTTACTTTAAAGTGAGGAGTAGGGAGACAAAATTATGTTTTTTTGATACTGAGACTGGACGAGTAGATCTTGGCAAACTGCCGACTTCAAAAGTAGCTCTTAGTTAAAAAAAAAAAAAAGGTTGGGCACCCCTGATTTAAACCTTATTTCAGTGTATTTTTGCCGTCATCCAGTAGAGGGCGCCACTGATTTCAGCCTGCACTACTCTACTCCGGCCCTGTTGAGCTGAGCAGAGAGCAGCCTTGATGTGAGCAGCGTCATAATTATGCACAAATCTTGTTTAGTTTTATTTGCGACACCACAATAATAATGGACTACACCAAACTGGAAGGACAAGTACCAAAGGCTGTACTGGTCCATCCAACAGTATGACGCTTAAAACAAGAGAGCAAGACAACAGAACAGTAAGCTAACTTTAGCTTCTTCTTGGAGAGTTTAACTCCATGTGAAAGAACACACAAAAAAAGTTAGTCACTACAAATAATTAACAGGAATTTAATCTCATCTGTGTGACGTAACCCGACCAGAGAACAAATCAAATGAACAGTAACTGATGTCAGAGCAGCTCAGACTGAACCACAGGGAATGTAAACAGTTCCAGTACTCATTTGCATGTTTACCCATCTCAGGTCGTGTTTATAGTTTGTTTTTGAGTAAATCTTTAGATTAAAATGTTACCTCTGTTTAAATGTTAGTTTTACATCTCTATGTTCAGGGTGGATTAAAAGTTTTACCTTATTTTCTTTCCTTTTTTTCCCCCCAACTAGCAACCTTACAGATTCCAGTTGTTATATTTTATAAATATGTCCAAGTTTAATAATGTGTGAGAAATGCACAATTTTCTGTTTTATTCAGTCAGAAAAWTGTTAATAAATTGTTCCATACAACTGGAAAAATAAATTTATAAAATTAACTAACTGTACTTTTACGTGGTGTGTAAAAAATATCCCTTCATGTCATAGAAAGACCCTTGATTCAAGAGAAATGTCAGGTTTTTAGGAAAATGGCCGCTTATCAATTAATCATTAGTCAATCGATAAGACCAATCAACTTTAGATTAACTCATTATGGATAATATGCATCCCTAATAACATATGTTCATACCAAGCCTTTCTGTAATCAAACACTTCATATAAACATTAGAGAACAGCTCCTCCACCAACCTTTTAGATGTTGTTGGGTCTTTAGATTTGCCCCCCGACTGTGCAGATTTTTCCATTTTCACTGTGAAGAAACATTTTTTGTTTTTTAAATTCTGATTACTAACAGCATCCTGAAAACACTCAGCTCTTTAAAGATGATAACTACAGTTCTGCTCAGATAAAAGATACTTTAACAAAACATAAAACCTTCTCAACTGTGAGCTACAGGAATGTTTGTTACAAGACAATAATCATTTGTTTTATTTTTCAACTGTTCCTGTTCAATCTGAACTGTAAACATTGTATTTCAATGAAGTTGTGACAAAGATTTTCAAATGTACTCACCYGTTTTCATTTCTGTGACCTGCAACAACAAAATATTTATAAATCAAGACAAATATAAACAGCTGACTTTATTTTATTTTAAACC